AAGAATTCTTGTATGCTGAAGAGAGTGCTGAGGTAGAGGAAACTAGTCCTCCTAGCCCTCATGAAACTCAAGAGGAGATAGACGCGGCTCTGAATGAGAACATATCTCATAGATCTCCTCATGTTGATGAGTATGGGAGCCACATGCCTGTTGCTTCCGATATAGGAGATGCTCTTAGAGATGGTGCAAATCTTGGTGAATTTGAGGATTTCGTCCTCATGGGCGAACCTTGTGAGCCTCTTCCACATTGATCTACTGCTGAAGGCTCTCATCTACAATCCCTGGTTCTTGAGAAATTACATCCCGACAAAGGGATCACTGGTATGCCAACTTTAACTTGTCTTAGTTTTGACTTGTTTCCCTCTGATACTTCTTATTTAGAACAAACTACAGAAGAAGAGGCCCCGAGACAAGTGGGGGAAAAGTCTAAGGAAATTGGGCGAATGCGCAAGTCTAAACGCGTCGCCAAAAGACCAAGGCGTAATATTTCTCCGCCCATGACTCCTTTGATAGAGTCACTTAGTGTTGAGATGTATTCTGAACTTAAGGATGAGATTTCTTTAGCTCGACTCTGCTCTGGACTACGTTCGGCGCCGAGTACTCACATCGAAGACGCTCTTGTTGATCCTGGTAAGATAGACGTATAGTCATTTACCTTTCTGGATTTCTAAGGTACTAACAACTTTGTTCACCGTGCTTAGCTGTTTCCACAGACTCTACTACCTTTACCGATGTAGGCATTAAGGCGGGACCAGCTTCTGATGACCCTACTAAAAGTAGGATGCCTCCAAGTTCAGCTATGGAAGCAGGCACAGCTAATAATCTGACTGTTGATCCTGAGGAAGCTGAGGGAAATGAATCTGCACCAACCGCCATAGCTGAAGCTGAAGCCACTATGGATACAGGTGTTGTGTCTACTAGTTCCATTGCGACGATCGAGACTTGCGTTGTACCAAGTACTACAATAGTTGCTTTAGTTATTAACACTCCCATTGTGTGCAATGCACCGCTAGTTTTCACAGCAGCTAGAGTTTCTTTTACCGTTCCTTATGCAATGGTGTCCTCTAGCAGCTCACACACCTCTCCTACTCTTTTAGCGAGAAATTTCACCGTATCGAAAATATCAGAGAACTTTCTTAGCATTCTGAGAGAATCTTCCGCTAAGGTCTTAGATCATGGAGGGGACTTCGCGGGGGTTAAAGAGGTGCTGGTACCTTTCTTGGACTTGATGAAGAATTTGACCTTCGACTTTGCAGTATTACCGTATTGGTTGCACCTAACCAAGGTTGAAGACCTTTTCAATCAATGGCAAGATCACCGATCTCGATCTCTTTACCCTTTAGCTGAGGAACGGGCTATGCAAACTATGTGGCAAAGGGATGACTCCTTATTCGAACTTAACCGTTAATTGTTGGAGACCAAGCAACAGATTAAGGAGTTTAAAGAGATCGAAGAGAATTTGTCTCGTGAAGGTAGAAAGGCTGCAAACGCTGAACTTCAAAAGCAACGTCAGGTCGACCATCTTCAAGCTCAACTCAAGGCTCTTCAGGCCCAACTGGTGGAGGCCGAAGCAGAGTTGGCGGGCATGACAGACATGAAGCAGATATTGGCTTCAAAATAAATGCAACACCAACCCTTGCTTCAAGCCGAAATTGATCGAATGGAGAAGCTAGAAAAAGCTGTAAATGACATGAACATCTATTCCGATGAGGGGCTGCGTAGACATGCTTTGGCTGATGTTGAGGCAGAAAACCAGGAATCCATAGCTAAGCTTGCTGAGGAGATTCGTCAGATTGCTGGATCCATTTAGCTCCATTTTCCTTATCAGACTTTTGTAGCACCCTTCCTCACTTTTTATAAGTAGAATTTCGGATGTCTTTGTTCACTAACTCTACTTTGCATTTTAACACATGATTTAATGTCAAAGTTCATGAACTTCATTGCTTTGTATTTGACATAAGGAGGTTCTAGCATCGTTCAATTAAGCCTCAGTGTTTGAGCCTAATTTGCAGGATAACCTTCGTCGAATACGAGGTTCAAATCCGATTTCAATCGAGTCTCAAAACTTGAGTATAATTAGATGAACGACTTTCGTGGAAGATGAGGTTCGGATCCAACACTAGAGTATAATTAAAGGAACGACCTTCATCAAAGACGAGGTTCAGATCCTATTTTAATCAAGTCTCAACACTTGAGTATAATTAGAGGAACGACCTTCGTCGAAGACGAGGTTCGGATCCTATTTTAATCAAGTCTCAACACTTGAGTCCAATAGAGGGATGACCTTCGTTGAAGACGAGGTTCAAATCCACTTTCGATCGAGTTTCAATACTTAAGTCTAGTTTGAAACAACGACCCTCGTTATTTTTGACTTAGGAACGAGAATAAATCTCATTGAACGATGTGGCAACTTTGAATAGTTCTAAGACTGTTGATCCATAAGAATCCGTCGTTTCATCTCGTTAACATTAAGTCTTGAGTACTTAATGCGTCGTTTCGAGCCATATTTTCTTTGGCGTTAATTATGAATGCCATTTATGGCGTCGCTTCGTTCACACCACCCTTTGGCGATTTGGTGCTTAGGGATTCATGTAACGAATCCCAACCACTTGGTTGGCTCCTTCGCCTATAAATAGGCAGATGCTTTTCGAGAGGATTCATCTTCCTCTTCTGTACCTTATTTCTAAAGTGATTCAGAGGAAACGAACCATTTTAAGAATTCCACCTTTGCTTCCTATTAGACTCCAAGCTACAATAATCGTCGCCGGTGAGGTAGGCAAAGTTGATGACTTTGTCACTTCAGGTAACTCTTCTGACCCGATCCCTGATCTCTTTGTCTTCGTAGTAGCTCGCTCATTTGAGGATTTCTTAGTGTTCCAGAGTCAAAATCAGGATATATTTTGATAACTTGTTGGACTTTTGAATGTAATCTCGAAGAGATATATTGAATTCAAATATGCTTGCTATTTTGATATGCCATGCACCCCTAAGCATATAGTCTTTTCTCTGAACTTCGGTCTATGTGGCAGCTTCACAGACTTAGTGAAGTGCCTCTTTTCGGAGGAGTCAGCAATAATGTTAGAGTTGCCTTCACGTTCTGCGGAGATGGGAGAAGTGCTGATCCTATGCTCAGAGCTTGTGGTGTTTCAATTAGTAGTCAGTTTACACAAGTAGGTAAACGTGTGCTACAAGCGCCAAAGCTAAAAGTTAGGTATGGGGAAGACTTCATGCCCAGGAACGGAAGATGGAACTCAACAACAAGACAACGAGTTTGTTGCGGACGAGGCTCGTAGTGCAATGTCGAATGTCATCAAAAACTTATAACTGAACTTCGTATTGTAGTCCGAATGTCGTCAAAAGAACTTATAACCGAACCTCGTATTGTAACTGAAAGAACTTGTAACTGAACCTCGTATTGTAGTTCGAGTCTTTTAAGTTCAATCTATATACTTCGAGTTTCTGTACTTTCAACTGTATATGAATAAAATTTATATTTTATCCACATATTGTTCTCTTGTATAACTGAAGCATTCTAACTTAGGATTTTTAGCAAACCCTCAGCTGTCAACGGACTTGGGTTGTCTTTACCAACTGCCGTTTGAGTTGGACTAGCCATACTTTTCTCCTCAGTATGATGAGTTGTCAAAGAGTTTTCCTTAGACTTTAATGCTAAGATTTCTCTTCTATCTTAAGTCTCTTTTAGACTTCAGATCAAATGTATGATAACGAGGTTCAAAATATAACCAAGTATTAAGAACGAAGTTTAACACATGGCAGACTCGTTGGGAAAACGAACGTTATTTGTGAAAATGACGACGTTAGGAATATCGAGTCGCTCAGTGCCTTAAGATAAAAATGATAAAGAAAACAAAGGCTCTTCACTTGGTAAACCGATGTTGGAAAACGTACATCATTAGGGGAAATGACGATGTTAGGAAAATTATATCGTTCAGTGACTTTAGAAGTATGACGATGCTGATTGAAACGAAGGCACATCACTTGGTAGGCGTAAGTTAGAAAAACGAACGTCATTTGGGGAAATGATGATGTTAGGAAAATTACATCGTTCATTGATTTTAGAAGTACGACGATGATGATAGAAACGAAGGCACATGACTTGGTAGGCCTAAGTTTGGAAAACAAACGTTATTTGGCAAAATGACGACGTTAGGAAAATTACATCGTTCAAAGACTTTAGAAGTATGACGATGCTAATTGAAATGAAGGCACATCACTTGATAGGCCTAAGTTTGGAGAACAACTTCATTTGGGGAAATGACGACGTTAGGAAGATCACATCATTCAGTGACTTTAGAAGTATGACGATGATGATAGAAACGCAGGCACATCACTTGGTAGGCCTAAGTTTGGAAAACGAACATCATTTAGGGAAATGATGACGTTAGAAAAATCACATCGTTCAGTGACTTTAGAAGTATGATGATGATGATAGAAACGCTTGGTAGACCTAAGTTTGGAAAACGAACGTCATTTAGGGAAATGACGACATTAGGAAAATGACATCATGAAGCAACACATCACATAGTAGGTTACTACTATTGGAAAATCATCAACCATCAGAGGTAGAATTGACATAATAATAGTCTCCTTATCCTATTGAAGATGATTAGTGAGGAAAATTTGGAGGAGATGAAATAAAGAAATCATTACCTTTATTTGCTTCTTCTCCTACAGTAAGGTACATCTGATGATAAAGTCTACGGGTAATATTTCTTCAGAAATTTACCATTGATAGGCATCATAAGTTTGTCGCCATCTTGGGTGATAAGACGATAGGCTCCATTTGAGTAGACAATTTCTATTACAAACGACCCTTCCCATTTTAGCTCAAACTTCCCTTTCTTCTTAGAGTTCAAAATTATTGGATACCGAACTGCAAGAACCAAGTCGCCTTCTTTGAACATGCGGTATCTAACTTTCTTATTGAACGCTCTGGCAATCCGAGCTTGATAAAGCTCAATGTGTTGTTGAGCCAATAGTCACTTTTCATCAAGCGCTTCTAATTCTTCAAGATGTTTACGATGACTCTCCTCCGTTGTCATACCAATTGCGAGTGCTATTCGCAAAGATGGAATTTAGATTTCTAATGGTAATACGGCTTCACATCTGTATACCAAGGAATATGGTGTAGTCCCTATCGGCGTGTGAGCCGTTGTGCGATAAGCCCATAAACTTTGACCCAACTTCTCATTCCAATCTCTTTTATTCGTCGACACTACCTTAGTGAGAATTCTAACGATGGTCTTGTTAAATGCTTCTGCTTGCCCATTAGCAGCAGGATTATAAGCCGTCGAAGCCAAATTCTTGATCCTAAATTTATCACAGAATCGGGTGAAGGCTTGGCTAGCGAATTGGGGCCCACTGTCATGAATGATACGTCTCGGAACGCCATACCTATATATAATATGATGTTTTAAAAATTTAACAACATTACTCGTCTTGACTTCTCTCAACGGGATTGTTTCTGCCCATTTAGAAAAGTAATCAGTTATCGCTAAGATGAAGCGATGTCCTTTGGAAGAGGGTGGTGTTACTGGGCCAACAATGTCCATTACCCACGTTTCAAAAGGCCATGAAGTGGTTGACAGATGAAGATGCTCAGGCGGTCGATGCATGTAATTAACATGTATCTGGCAGGCATGAAATCGTTTAGCATAAGCGACAGCATCTTGTACCATGTTAGGCCAGTAATAACCCAATCTACATAGTTGGTCCCACAACTTAGGACCAGACTGATGAGCTCCACAGATGCCATCATGAGCTTCTTCAAGAGCTTCTTTTGCTTCTCTATTCGACAAACAGCGAAGCAAAAGCCCATCGTATGATTTTCGATACAGAGTCTGGGATTGAGAATCATAGTAGAACCTAGGTGCTCGTCTACGAATAGATTCTCTTTCTTTGATGTCCTCAGGCAATAAGCTGTATAAGACATAATCGATGATTAGAAATCGCCAATCTTTAGGTTCGAGCATTGCAGGTTCCTCTTCAACTGCGTTGATCTGCAGTGTATATTTTGATTTGAATAATTATCTGCTTGTCACTATGACCTGCTGGGTGGTACTTTCAGGTAGAGCTAGGGTAGCCGCCAGTGACGCCAATGCATCGGCATAGGTATTCTTGAGACGGGGTATATGGTCGATGTAGAAGCCCTCAAAGGAATCGGCCAATGCTATTGCTACTGTAAGGTAAGGAATGAGGTATTCATTCCTAACCTCATATTCTCCCTTCATTTGATTAACAATGAGTTGAGAATCGCCGTACGTTTCTAAGTGTTTCACCCCCAGTTGTTTGGCTATATCTAGGCTAACCAACAAAGTATTGTATTCAGCCACATTATTAGAACACGGCTCTGTTAAAGAAACGGCGTGTGAGAGTATGTGATTTTGGGGAGAGATAAAGACAACCACCACTCCAGCTATAACCCGACCAGTAGAACTTGTGCTTGTTGCACCATCGAAGTACAATTGCCATACTTGTTCTCTAAAGATGACGTTTGCTTCATACGTCTCATCAGGTATGTCCTGGTATAATTCGGCCTTTTCTTTCAGTGGATGATTAGCCATAAGGTCACTAATAGTCCGACCTTTCACTGCTTTTTGAGGTTTAAAGTGAATGTCATATTAGAAAAGCAACAAAGCCCATCTAGCGAGTCGCCAATTCAATGCACTAGGCTATGTCATGAATACCCGAATAGGATTGATATGGGAAATGACATGTATGGTTTGCCCAACCAAATAATGTCGCATTTTTTGAACTGTGAAGACCAGCGCCAAACATTCCTTCTCAATAAGAGGATAACGCGGTTTGACACCCGATAGAGTCCTACTGAGATAGTAGACAGCTTGTTCGTGGTCGTTTCCATCATCTTGTGCCAAGAGTCCTGCTAATGCATAATCTGTAGCCCGGATGTATATCAAGAAAGGTTTACCTGACTTCGGTGCGACCAATATCGGTGGATTGGAGAGATATTGCTTGTAGGCATATAAAATTGCTTATAGGTCCCTTAGCACAGCTCGGCACAAACCGACGAACCATCGGGCGACGTATCCAAACACGAGCATCAATCCACAATGCCAAAGCCAAGTGACACACAACGAAGCGGATTAGCGAGGCGACCAGGCTAACGAACCGCACGCAAACAATGGAATACATCCATTCGCATGAGGAATCAAGCTAACAGTTCGGTGAGTCAACGAGTCATCCAACCATAGAACGGATTTGAACTCAAACACTGAGGCGGATTTACTGCCATATTGGGATTCTGACTATCAAATCAGAATCCGGATCAACAACGAAGCGGGTTTACTGCCAAATCAGGATTCAGATCAACAAATCAGTCAACGAGTCAAGTCCGGATAAATCAACCACAGAACCGGATCACGGACAAAACCGAAAATGGAAAACGACGGAAAACACCCCTTAGGGGGGCTCGGCCAAAGCCTAGCCACCTATAGGTGGCTAGGTGGCCGGCCAGATCTGTGCCCGGGCACAGATCTGAGAGCCTATAAATAGGCCATTGAGTGTTCATTTTTTGAGGGTTGGATTTTTTGGAGGGGAAGCCCTGCTGGATTCAAGACTCAGATCTAAAAAAGATTAAAGCTTTGGGACTTTGAGGACTTGCTCTTTCAGATCTGGTGCTCGGCGATCGTCAACGCCAAATAAGGCAAGAGTTCGAGAGGACCGAATCTCAGATCTACGCAAGCGTACTCCGGATCAACGCTTGGTCTTTGATCCCGAGAATTAAAGGCTACTATTTCCTTGGCGAAATAGTACCCTCAGCTATTATTTCCTTAGCGAAATAATACCCGTCATACTGCGTAGATCCGACCGGATCTAGATCTCGCGGTGGTCCACGGATAAACCCAGGCGCAGGCAAACAACCCACGCAAGCGAGCGACCGCAAAACAGGAGCTTGTGATTTGTTCGACAAATAAGGAGAAAGTTGTAATCTTTTTTTATTTTCTTTGATTTTCATTGTAACCGGATCTTATAAAAAGACCGGATCTTTGTAACTCAAAAAGCTGTTATTTAAGATGACAATGGAATCAACAGTGAAGAAAGACACGATTTTCACCGCGAACATTGCTTAATCTCTTTGAACGCTTTCTGGCAAGCCTCATCCCACATAAAGGATACTCCTTTCTTCATTAGTTTTGAGAACGGTTGGCATTTCCCAGATAGGTTAGAAATGAACCTGCGAATATACGCCAATCATCCTTGTAAGCCTCGAGCTCCTTAAGATTCCTAGGAGGTGGTAGCTCTTGGATGGCCTTGACTTTATCTGGATCCAAACGAATTCCGTTAGCCGTGACCACGAATCCGAGAAATTTACCGCTAGCCATCCCTAAAAATGACTTAGTTGGATTCATCTTGAGTTGGTGCGCTCGTATAAGATCAAACATTATTTTCAAGTCGTGCAAATGGTTTCCCTTGTCACGATTCTTAACAACCAAGTCATCAACGTAACATTCTACAGTCTTCCGTAGATGTTTTTGAAAGATAGAGGTCATAGTGCGTTGATAGGTAGCGCCCGTATTTTTCAATCCAAAGGGCATTACTGTATAATAGTATATCCCTGAAGGTGTTCGAAAGGATGTATGCTTTTCATCATTAGGATACATTTTGATTTGGTTGTACCCTAAGAATCCATCCATAAAGGACATCTTTTCAAACCCGCACGTATTGTTAATAATGACGTCCGTGATAGGTAAAGGAAAATCATCTTTAGGACAAGCCGAATTCAAGTCACGTAAGTCGATGTACACTCGAATCTTCCCATTCTTTTTTAGAATAGGGACAATATTGGCCACCCAATCAGGATGCTGCTCTTCGCGGATAAATCCTGATTTGATGAGCTTTTTGACTTCCGCTTCAATTGCTTCCATGATTTGGGGTCGAAATCGCCTTTGCTGTTGTTTAACAGGCTTGACGTTTGGTTTGATATTTAATCAATGCATAGCCACTTGGGGATCAAGCCCAGGCATATCCTCATAGTTCTAAGCGAATGCATCGATATACTCTCGTATTAGGGTAATAAGGTTTTCTTTCTCTTCTGGCAACAAGCTGTCGGTTATGAATATAGGTTTTGGATTAATCTCGTCTCCCATGTTCACTTGAATAACCTTGTCATCAGTAGGGGGTTCGTGTTGTTCAAAATGGTGTTCCCACTGTATACCCAGCTGTCGACTTAATGGATCGTCAAACAGAAGTAATTGATCATCTTCCTGATTCTCTATCAGAGTTACCGAGGTCATGTTAGCCATGAGTACCTTGAATACAGTTCTTGTACTGGTATCGGATTCCTAACAATTAGATTCAGAAGATGAGATGAAAGAGTCATCATCTGACCCTCCTTTGGTCCTGAAACGCAGCATAAATGGTGGAGATTCATAACCCAATCCACTATGAGTTTTGTGATAATAATCCTTCGACTTTCCTTCCGGGACATACGCAGATCGTATTGGTGGTCGAATCCCTCTGCCAAAATTTAAACCCTATTTATGGATGAAATCATATCCCATATTCTTCATAAGCTTTCGGGTTGTTAGAGTAAAGTATGAGAATTGCGGATCCCTTTCCTCTTTCTCGGAATCCTCCAAAATAGCTTGCACCGGGCCGTCTCTCTTTCCGAAGATGAAGTTTTTTTGACCGTTAACCTTAGCCGGTACTATGAAGACTGCTTGTGAAGATTTGATTTGTCGTCGATTTGTCACAAAAGATGACTAAATCGAAATGTATAAATTTGATTTAGCATATAACTAGGATAGCGGATCCGCTATCACATCAGCGTTTATACCTGGTATGTTAGGATTCAATTCCACATGCGAGAAGTAAGCTAAATCATTATTATTAAAGATAACTCTGCTGTCCTCATAGACATGATCATTTATATCCAGATCTTCAAGACCGATTATGATGGGTTCTATGTCATTAAAAACAAGACCCTGTTCATGTTCAGACTCGATATCGGGTTCATTACCGCTATCTGGTTCTTCGCTCAGTGGTACCTCAAATGGCTCACCATGAAGATAATGGATAGAATCAGTAAAATCATTCTCTACCCCCTTGAATGGTTGCTTCTCCGTGACCACTGTTTTGACTTCACCACTCTCACCTACATATTTCATGCATTGGTGTAGAGTTGATGGAACAATTAAATTGTTATGGATCCATGGTCGACCTAGTAACAAATTGTAAGATATCTCTGCATCAATGACGTAGCAAGTGACATCCGTCCTCAAATCACCCATCTAGCATTTGAGTTTGATTTTGCCAAGGGGACGAGTATTAGAGGCATTGAAGCCATATATGGTCGTTATCGTCGTTGATAAACGATGCAGTGGAACTCCAAGGTGATGAACGAGCCGCAATGGAATAATGCTCAAAGCAGAACCAGGATCAACATGAATTCTGTCTACCCAAATAGAGCCGATGTACCCTGTGAAGTATAACGGTCTATCATGTTTCGGGTTTCTCACATGCATGTCTTCTTGAGAAAAGTGATGCACGACATTCTTCTTCGAAAAACTTGACAACATTGAGGACAAGCTTCTTCTAACATTGTTCTGGCTGGATTTGGTGAAAAATGAGTGAGGAAAGCCTCGTTATCCACTAATCCTTCACGAAGAGCTTCTCTCGTTGACCGAGATAAACGTAGAAGCTCAAACAAGGTAATCCTTGCTGGGATATTGGCTAACTAAGCCAACACATCAAACCGAAAAGAATCTTTTGAACTCTCTGGCGTATATTTCTTGAGTGCTTTGCTGTAACAAAGTTCCTTAGCTTGAGCTTGCTCTGCTACTTCTTTCCCTGGTCTGGGTGGTGCAGCTGCTGTTTCAGAATATTTCTTCAAATACTCCTTTCCCTCGCGTGTTCCTGATATTTGTACAGGTTGTGCAGTGAAGGTTGGCTGCTCATTTTCAAAACTGCTAAGTGATTCAGTTTCAACCCCCTCATCTGGGCTAGCCGACACAGCGTTGCAGGATCTTCGCATGGCTCTAGGCTTCTTTGAGTTTGCCAATTTCCATTGTTCGTCCATTAGTAAGTCAGGATGAACCCACATCAATTCACCTTTAGGGAAGGTGTAAGGGACCATCCCCTTCTCTTTCTTCTGATGTGGGTCGAAGTTTACCACTCTCGCCTCTACTTGAGGAATCGGTTTCACGCCATCTTGTACTTGCACCTCGGTGAAATCTCCAAATTAAAGTGAGACCATATTCGTAGATACCTTCTTTTGCTCAGCTTGAAGGGTCATCACACCTGCGTCTAACAAAGCTTGAATCTTGTCTTGCAGGATGTAACAAGCTTTAGTTAGATTATGCACCATCCTGTGGTACATGCAAAAGTTAGGATCATCAGTCCTTGATACTTCTGCGTTCCGCTTTACCTATAGCAGCTTGATTTTATTCATCTTGATTAAATATGTAAGAATGGAGACCACATGTTCATCTTTGAAATTGTATTTCTTCTGAAAACAATTGTCGGATGTATTTTCCTTCTGTTTGGTAGAGGATTTCGGAGATGGAGCTGTCTCAACAGCTAAGGTGTCTTTCCCTTTCGATTGCCTTCTGTTTGGTAGAGGATTTCGGAGATGGAGCTGTCTCAACAGCTAAGGTGTCTTTCCCTTTCGATTGTTTCTGGGAATTATAGTTGCCTTCTAAGGTGTCTTTCCCTTTCGATTGTTTCTGGGAATTATAGTTGCCTTTACCACCTCCCTTTTTAGGCTTGGATTCTTGAGGTTCTTCAATATTTATCCTCTTAAGCATGTTCTCTACCTACTCCCCTTGCCAAACCAAATCTTTCCATGAACGGGCCTCAACAGCGCCCATCTTGGACAAGATATTGATAGAAAGATTGTTGCAGCACATATTCACGAGAGTGGCTTCAAAAACTTGATCGCGTGAATGCAACGATCGATTTTTGAATCTCTTGACGAAGTCACTGACTGACTCTATCTTCTTCTGCTTCTCAGATAATAATGTAGCCATGGACACTTTAGTGTCATCGTCGAAGAAACGGGCTAAGAAAAGTCTCTCCAAATCTCTCTAACTCTGGATTGATCCTGGCTCAAGTCTACGAAACCACTCAAAAGCCACCCCCTTCAGAGTGCTAATGAATAATCGAGTCATAATATAGGGTCATTACCCACTATATGACCGGTCTGCGCTTGGAAGTAATAAATATGTTGGGTAGGAGAACCCTTGCCATCAAATTGTACCAAGTTGAGTGGTTTGAATTTCGGAGGATATGGGATCGCATCTCATTCACTTGGATAGGGTCTTGACAACCCCAATTCTTTGAAGTTTCCTTGAAGTTTCAGTGCGTCAAGCTGCTTCTAAAAATCCTCCCATTTCTGATCTCGTTCTTTCGTACGAGGATTAGATTCAGCTTCAGACAATTCAGAATGAATCTTCACAACCCTTTCATCATCGTCTTCATCATTGCGATCTTCATCAACAGATGAAGGTCTTCTACGCCTAGATCCTGAAGCTTGGGAATGAGCCTTCTTCTTCTTCTTTTCCTTCTCCTCATGGAGTCTCTCCACCATTTCTTCCAGACGTCTGATGGACTCCTGCTGTTTCAGAATGGTTGATTGTTGCTCTTCCAGCTGTCGTGAGAGCTCTTCCTCTTTTCGTGTCATGTGACCACTTTCTCGCTCGCTTTGGTCTGTATTGGAAGGCTGAGAAGTAGCAATGGCTAAATTTTTAGGTTCTTCATTGACACCATAGGATATACCCACTAGTTTGCGGTAATCTAGCAGGATCATTGCTCCAGTACGAGAACGAGTATGTTGGTAACCACCCTGACTTTCAATGAGTGCCTCTCATAATCCGGGAGATCTTTCAAACTCAGAATACTCAGAATCATCAGCTGAGATTTTGTTTTTACCCTTGCTGGCCATGTTGATCGTCACTTCAATATGTCGATTCTTGGATGCTTGTTTCTTAGGGCGAAAGCGTCTTCTTCTTGATGATGAGACCATCGGCAGTTCAGTCAACCGTTTGAAGACTAAAGATTTATGCGTTGACTCCCCATATGGGCATTAGGAAAGCACTGCAGAGATAAGCTTCTCACAGCAGCAATGCGATTGCATCTGACTTATGCTACGCTTGCGTGTGAGATAATCCCGAAGGTCACCAGCTAGACAACCCCCAGTCAATTCTGTCATCATGGCTTTACCCAGATGAGAACCTCTGAAGGATAGAGGTTGACGAACTACATCGTTCATGTGACGACATTCGTTGGTAAAACGAGTTCGACGCTTGTGCCTTCTCAGTTGGCTCTTAACCTGAGGCATGAGGTTTGTTGTCGGAGCCTACTCAGGTACAAGGGTGGGGTCCAT